AAAAATTATGGAATTATGTCTATAATTTTCTCTAAATATAGATTAAAAGTTATTTAACCATCATTAAGGATATGGAAGGGGTAAAAGTATATTTTTGATAGTATAAGGGTGTGATTGATAATGTATCAGACCACAAGGGAGGTCAATGATAATTTCCTATTTTTTAGATAAATTGGCTTATTTATTTTTTCCAAGAATGAATGTTTGTTCTTGGGAGAAGATGATTGATCACTTATGATGTTTTTAACTGGACATAAACTTTCTACTCTGATATGTTTAAGTTTGACTTAGATTTGTTTAAATATGGTCTTAATTGAGCTGGTCTGGCATGAGCTAGTCTAGTCTGGGATGTAAATTTCCGTTTAGTCTGATCTGTTTAAGTTTGATCTGGTTTGTTTAATTAAGTTTGGTAGATTCTGTATGAGACTGAAACAAGTTCAAGTAAAAACATCCTTATTGAAATAATTAGAAACACAAGAAAAAAATCTTGGGAAAAGACAACAAATAAATAAGAAAACAAGGGGAAAATAAAGAAGAAAAAACTGAATTCATTAGAATGGTAGGATTAAGAAAAAGAAAAATGAAGATTAAGAAGCTATTCTGTTCGTCTTAATCTTATTACTTATTGCTTATTCTTATTTTATTCAGATCAGATCAAATCAGAAAATTTCAGATCAGATCAGATCAGATCAGAAAGATTCAGATCAGATCAGATCAGAATCATTCAGATCAGATCAGAAAGATTCAGATCAGATCAGAAACATTCAGATCAGATCAGGAACATTCAGATCAGATCAGAAAAGTTCAGACATGATTTATCCCTTTTATTATAATAATTATAATAATATTAATAATAATTATAATAATAATAATTATTATTATTGATATTATTATTATTAGTATTATTATTACTATTACTATTATAACTATTATTATTACTATTATTATTATTATTATTATTATTATTATTATTATTATTATTATTATTATTATTATTATTATTATTATTATTATTATTATTATTATTATTATTATTATTATTATTATTATTATTATTATTATTATTATTATTATTATTATTATTATTATTATTATTATTATTATTATTATTATTATTATTATTATTATTATTATTATTATTATTATTATTATTATTATTATTATTATTATTATTATTATTATTATTATTATTATTATTATTATTATTATTATTATTATTATTATTATTATTATTATTATTATTATCATTATTATTATCATTATTATTATTATTGTTATTGTTATTATTATTGTTATTATTATTATTATTATTATTATTTTGATTATTATTGTCATTATTATTATTGTTATTGTTATTGTTATTATTATTGTTATTATTATTATTATTATTATTATTATTTTTATTATTATTGTCATTATTATTATTGTTATTATTATTAGTATTATTATTACTATGATTATTATTATTATTATTATGATATTTATTATTATCATGATTATTATTTTTTCTTACTACTATTATGGTTGTTGTTGTTATTGTTATTAGTTTTGTTTTCATTATTATCATATTATACGGAGTAATTACAAATAAAATTATAGAAATAAATATTATAATTATAATTAAAATTATAATTATAGAAATAAATATAACTCTAAATATAATTACAATTATAATTATAGCTATATTTATAACTAGTGTAATACGTATAATAATAAATATACCTATTATAATTATGTTTATAATTATAATTATAATTTTTATAATTATGATTATAATTATAATTATATTTAAATTATATATGTGTAATTACATTTATAATTATAGTAATTATAATTACAATTATAATTTTAGAAATACTCAAATCAGATCAGATCAGAATCATTCAGATCAGATCAGAAACATTCAGATCAGATCAGGAACATTAAGATCAGATCAGGAACATTCAGATCAGAAAGATTCAGATCAGATCAGATCAGAACTTAAAAAATTCAGATCAGAAACATTCAGATCAGATGAAGAGAATAGCTTCTGAATTGAATAATTTCAGTTAATATCAATGCCCTGATCGTTTTCCCAGTTTTACGGTTCCTAGTCACGAGCTTAGATAATAATGTGATATAAAGAACCTTTATATTCATATTTTTGGAAATTTCTAGTTAATATCGAATGACAACAATTTCTAGTATAATTATAATTACATGTAATTATAATATAATATTATAATAATATTAATCATATTATTATTATAATATTGTAATAATAGTCTTCTTAATAATTGTATTTATATTACTATTATTATATTAAAATATTATAACTATATTAATATCTTATTTTTTTATCATATTATTATTAATATTATTAATAATAATTATATAATAATAATCATAATAGTAATAACAATATTAATAATAATAATTAATATAATAATAAAAGTGATAAATCATGTTTGAACTTTTCTGATCTGATCTGAATGTTTCTGATCTGATCTGAATGTTTCTGATCTGGTCTGATCTGAATCTTTCTGATCTGATCTGATCTGATCTGAATTTTTCTGATCTGATCTGATCTGATCTGAATTTTTCTGATCTGATCTGATCTGAATAAAATAAGAATAAGTAATAAGTAATAAGAATAAGACGAACGCACCTGATTAATTTGGGGAATAAGAAACTTATCACAATTATTTACTTAGGAGATCATTTAAACCCCAACTATAGGCCATACGGGGTCAAGATTTTGTAACAAAAAATCGTATACTATTTAGACAGGCCAGTTGAAAGACTCATATTACTCATTTGTTACATCTCACACATGTGTTGTACGTGATGAAGATCCAATTTATTAGTTTCTTTAATGATATGCAGGGGCGTAGACATGGGTGGCCAACCCTGACCATGACCCAGCCCAAATTTTAAAAATTTCTAAATTTTTAGGATAAAAAATTCCGTGTAAAACTTTTTCCAAAAATATTCTTTGTATCGGCCCAGTCCGGCCCTGTGTCCTGACTCCGCCCCTGATGATATCGAAATATGATGGTAAATATTAGAGTTCACAAAATTAACCAGTGACCAACATAAGTTATATTGAGATGTTACTCTAAAGACGTTGACGTACAATTACCAATGAGTAAAAATAGAAGACGTAAAAAAGTGCCAACCTCTTACAACCATGGTTTATTTTTTTTATTTTTTTAAGGAAAATAGAATTTTATTGAATGAAAAAAGCAGTACAAAACGAGAAAGGAAAAGAGTACATAAAATAAAGGAAACAAAGATCACTACTCCCAAGGGAAATCTCTACCCTGCGACCTAGTCTTCATGTTATGGCACTTTTTGTTCTTCTGAGACTTTCTGTAAATCTTGAGTTGAGTGTTCAAGTTATCTGTTGGCAAGCAATTTTCTTGGGTTACAAAATCAGCTTTGTGACAGATTGCCCTGTTGAATTTTGATTTCCTAATTTCTTCGGGGTAAGAAATTGGAGGACGACGATCGCTTTCGCTTGCATGTCCCAGAAAGTCATCTGTGAAGAAGGAGTCATCAGAGTGCTCAAAACTGTCAGAGGCGTCCGAGTAAGCCTGGATTGATGTAAATTGGGGTTGTTTTCTTGTAGATAAGCCATGTTGGTTAGCGATGCATGCCTCCTCAATTTGAAAATTTAAGATCAATTTGGATATGGACGTAGGGTCCTCGGATTGAATCGCGCTCCTCAATTGAAAGAAAATTGATTCATCCTGCCCAAACTTTGGAACCTCTGCAAAATTAGAAAAAATATTGAGAAATTTTAGTAGGCTCGATTTATGAGGTCTCATGGGAATCTGAATGGAACTCCCCTTGTGTTTGGCAATTTCCACATAATCGCCTGATCTGTTTCTTTCTATAGAAACTGTGATAACTCCAAATCGCCTTAACTGCCTAAATTTATTCTGCTTTGAATTTGTGATGTGGGAGATGAACCGGGTGATTTGGTGAACCAACTCACTCTTGAGTTCCACTTTGTGCAGCTGGGTTTATTATAATTATAATACTAGAGTTGCCTAGAATGGACATACCAGTTTCACATTGTTCTTATTTCCTCCTATTCTATCACGATGTATAGAAAATGGACATAATAGGAGCAAAACAAACATAAAATGCAAAAAAGAATTTAATTATTAAAATATCATAAATAGAAGTAATAATTTATGATTGAACAAAAAAAATTACTCTTACAAGGTTTAGAGCTATTAATCACTGCCACGTGACAGCTATTGTCAGACTTCTGTCACCGCCGGTCACCGATTTTCCACTGCCCCGAACTTTCACTACCGCTGGCAGCCACAACTCTAAATCTTAAACCCAATCCTAAATTCTTAATCCTAAACACTAAATAGGCGAAATTGACATCAATAATCCCTACTTTTACAGATTTTACAAGAATAATCCCTACTCATAAATTTCACAAAAATAATCCCTACTAGTTAAGTTTTTCACAAAAATAATCCCTACTAGTTAAGTGTTACACAAAAATAATCTGAGAGCTAGCTGTGTTAACTTTTCCGCTATTTTTTCTATTGAATATTAAATTCAATTTTTAGTAGATATAAGATTAAACTCAAATGTAATATTGTCAATGTTTATGTATATCTTCCACTACTACATTTTAGCCTCTAATGTAACACATGAAAATATTACAATAGTATCACAAAGTGTTACATTTAAGGAAAATGTAACACTTTTTGCGTGTTACATTTGCTTGCGTTGCATTTGACCTATTGTAACACTTTATGGTTCCTAATGTAACACTACACGTCCTGAGCATAAAAGTGTTACATTTGAAGAAAAAAGTGTTACATTCGATTAAGATGTTACATTTGGATATAAGTGTTACTTTTTGTGAAGTGTTACAATTTAATATTGTAACAGTTACATTATACTACACGTGTGTATATATATGCGTGAGTGCATGCTGATTTTAGAAATAAGACGACATACCACATTATATCCACATAAAACAAACTAAATGACATAATTAATCACACATTAACAACGAATTTTATTAAATTAATCCAAAATCCAAAGTAGTACTGCACTCCTGCCAAAATCCTTTATTGTGAAAAACTGGTCTTTATGGTAATCACTATAAAAAGTACAAAGATCTAAAGAAAAAATTCCGGGCGTAAGCTGCTCCCAAACATGTGCTGGCAAAGAATTCAAAGCCCCTAATCCACAAGTTCATCATGCTCACGGTAGTGCAAAGGCAATACTTCCTCATTCAATTCATAAGTTTCCAAATCTTCATTATCCTACGGATTCAAAAAAATCCTAATTAGAATATGAAAACTTGCTAACTACTACATATCACATCACACAATAGAATTAGCAACATTGCGAATACCAACCATTTAATAACATCATATTGGGGATTCGAAATAAAAAAATTTAGCTTAACAATACCTTAATTGATTCAATAGTTTCCCTATTATGTTACAAAAGTTAGCACCTCAATATCTCTCGAAAGTAGTAAATTTCAGGAACACTAAGTTAAATTTCAGGATTTCCAGCATCATGTGAGACACAAGTATAGATGTTAATTTTGGAGCAAATTCACATATTAGAACTTCTGTAATGATCTATATGACTATATAATATTAGGATTTTGATCTTCGGGCTCTCTTTCAACTGACACATTGAAAATAATGGAGTTATATGCATACCTTAGATAAATCAGAAATCCAGTACTCTAGAAGTTCTTTAAATTGGTGTATCTGAATACTTCTTGACAGATCAGATGTGATTCCATGTTCATTGGGTTCCACTATTCATCATACTGCACATTCACAAACACCAAAGTTCATATGAAGTACATTATTGTAGACTAGAATTCACTAAAGAATAACAAGTTTAATTTGGGGTTTTACATGTGCGCCAGATCACTAGAGGAAAAACAATTTGATAAATTAACAACATTAGAATGAAATATATTCCAATTTCTAGAATATAATCAAAGAATATTATATGAATTCTGAATATTTATATAAATGAATAAAAATTAGCTTAATGGAACGTTTAAGAATCAATCTATCTTCTGAATTTTCGTAGTATTAACAATTTTTTTATTAATGGTCAATAGCTAACTATAACAGTGAATAAACAAGAAAGAACTGCTCCAGTAATGAAATAAAGATGAATTAAACAGAGTTCATCCTTCATTTAGATGCCAAACCTGCTTTGATTCATTCCTCTATGAATTTTCTTAATTTCCAGAAATAAAAGAAGAAAAAGGAAACTTCAAATAAACTAAAAGAACTCCAGAGCTTCTGCATGTTGTGTGAGTAGGAGCTTAGAGGATGTGGATGGCCATAGTATACAGAGATGTGTGGTATTTCTTTTCTTCTTCCTTCAACCCTAAACCCACCATGATCAGGTGATCATGTTGGCAGAAGCAACAACTTTCTCTATTGATAACATTTGCAGAAGAAAATTCGTCTTCTATGACTGATCGATTTCTTGAGGTTAGGCTGAGTAAAATCGACGGAAAACATGTGAATTGAAACGGGATATGTGGGGCTTGTGTGATTCTGATAAGCTCAATACTTTCAAAATTTTGAAGGGTTTCATTACAAACTTTAACCAGAATCTACTGAATCCGAGGGTTTGGGATTGAAAGAAAGATATGGCTGGGTAGGAAGAAGGACCTTAGCTTGTTACTATCCTTTTCATCTATCTTTGAATTTTATAAGAGTATATATTTAAAAAGTTCATTGTCTTAAAAAAACAGTCACAAAAAAATTAAAAGAACTTTTAAAGTGAAACTACTGTTTCGGAACTTCTATGAGACAAATTTTCACTATCAAATCTTTTTGAAGTGAAGATAAAGTATCACCTCCCCCCCCCCCCCTTCAAACTCTCTCAACCAAACAATCTGTAAGAGATAAACTGCTTATCGTTGCTCCTTACTCAAACATTCTTTGTATGCATTCTCTAAGCATGAATGAAACCCCTTAATTTGCAGGAAATAATTAACTGGAAACTAGCAGCAAAAAAGTAAATAATAAAAGAAGTATAACAACAATAAAGCAATCATCAGATAAAACCAAAATGAACCACAATAAGGGTGTATCAATAGAGCTCTTCAAAAAATAGGGATACATCTGAAAATAAATCATTATATCCCAACTATTGGGAAACAGAAAGATTTCCATGCATTTCATATAAAAAATAGTAAAATAAACCCTTCCAATCCAAAATAGTTGCAAATGTATTCATAGGTACTTCTTCATTTTCATACTAAAACAATTCTTTGCACAAACTTGTAGATTATGATTAAAAATACCTTATCACCAAAAGGTAGGAAAGAAACAGAGAAGCATTATCCTCATTCCCATCAATCTCCATCTCTTTGATCTTTTATAAATCTAAAAATAAGAAAAATTGAAAGCATTATCTCACAATTGTATAGGAAGCTTCTTAGACCCAAAACTCTATGTCTTTTTAAATTCAGTAAAACCAAAGAGTCGTCTAGAGATTATCCAGGTCGGTTATGTATATATGAAGCGCAAATATACATATAATAAGTACTCGGGTACCAACGTGCGAAAATTACTAAAATTCAAGTAAAAACTATCCAGACCTATGGCTCTCGTGGATATAATCTTCTGCAGATTGTATCTGTTATGAAATACAAAAGCTCTTTATACTGATAAGTACAAATAAACCTAAATCATATCCATATGGAAAGATGTTAAATGACAAACATACCTCGTTTAGATTTACTGAACCAACAATAAGAATCAAAGATTTCAGATATATACGATTAATTGGTCTATTAGGGAGGAAAGGAGCGGGGGGAGACGAACCGTTGGAAAGGATTATATGCTCTTAATGGATGTGCTGAAAATGTGAGTTTAGGGTTAAGTATTACGCAAGTTGGTTTCAGAGACTGGCACCATCGTTAATTAGGGTACTCACCTGGACGCCGGAGGAATCACCGCTCACTGCTCTGCATCCGGAACACTTGGAGACCTGCACTCTCTGCTCCCAGCCTGGTGACCACGGATTGACCGCCTTGCTGCTTAACGTTGGGGCAAGTAACTGAGATCTGTTCCCCGAATGAAGAGTCTGTTCTCCGGACATGGTAGTTCCTTTCCCGATTAACGAATCTAGGGACGTCATCTTCCCTTCTCCAGCGCCCCTCCCGGCCAGAATGAGTTGCCGACCCTGTGACGAGATCCAACAATCGGAAAACACTTTGAGGCGGCCAAGTTCTCATACCCTCGTTAATTTTAATTAGTTTAATATACGAAGTACCAGTGTGTTACAAAGAGTGTTACAATTGTTAAAGTATTACAAAACTCTAAAAAGTGTTACATTTAAGCTCACAAATGTAATACTTTTTTTATAAGCTTGGAGTGTGTTACAATAGATCAAATATGTAACACTTTTTTAAACATGTTACAGATTTAGTGTTACTTTAGACCTTAAAATGTAGTAGTGTTCGCTTCAATATACTTTAAATAAAAAAATAGCAGAAAACTTAAACTATTAGCACCAGGTTTATTTTTGTAAAATACTTAACAAGTTGGGATTATTGTTGTGAACTTTTTAAGTAGGGATTGTTTTTTGTAAAATGTGTAAAAGTAGGGATTATTAGTATCAATTTACTAAATATGATGGTATGCTTATTTACACACAATATATTACTTTGATTTAGAGAAATTAAATTATGAAATTCCTATTTACGAGTCCATTTTAGGTCACCCCCTCCAAAGAGGGTGAACACCAGGAGTTCGTATACCGTACAACCAGTTGTACGGTGAGCACCATACAGTCGGTGTCTAGTCGTTTTGTTTGGATTGATGTTCCCCTTGATTGTATTGTTTCCTCCTTGAACCATGATTTTATTAATATATGTTAGCCTTTTTTTCTTTAAAAAATAATAATAAGCAAATACAATAGATTTATTATAAAAAATGCCGATTCATCATTTCTGAGTCATGCGACAAGTGGCGATGCTGGAAGACAAGCGCCCGATGGCGGTGATGGACGACCGACTAGCGGTGGCAATGTTGGACGACCCACAAGCAAAGGCGGCCTTCTAAATCCGGTTTTTTTCTAAATCCGGTTATACCTTAGACGAGGACCACCAAGTTTATATGTTAGATCTACCGATGTTGTGTGACTCGGGCATCGTGGATTTCCGATCGACAGAGTGGCTATGATGGCAACAGAAGACAACAACAACATATTCAATCTTGACGAAGAATACGATCGCTAAAAAAAGCCTGAGCATACCTCGCACAATTTAGATGTCAGGGATCGATGAGAGTTTTATTCAGAGGCTTAAAGTTCCTACATATTATAAAAGTACTCGCCTGTTCCTACATAATTTTCCTAACATCAATTACTCCTTCCCTTGCTACCATGTGGCATCACATTTCATTTTTTTGAATTTGTTACAATATTTTTTATTTATGATCCAATTTTTGAAAAAAAATATTAGTTTTAATAAATTTTTATGATCTTTCCAATGGTACCAATATTTTATATAAAAAAATTTAAAAATATCTATCTTTTCTAAACATCCATTTTTAAATTGATTTTTTTAAATGGATATATTTGTTTTAAAAATTGGATTTAAAAATAAAAAAACATTAAAACAATTGTTGATACAAAAAATTTTGGAACACTTTCTTTTGAATCTAGAACACTCTCTTTTGAATTCGGAACATTTTTTTGAATCTGGAACACTCTCTTCTGAATCCGGAAATTTTTTAAAATCCAGAACACTGTCTTTCCGATTCATCTGACATTATACCCAAATTTAATTTTTCTCTTTGAATCTATGTCTTTCTCCGGAGCTAAAGGAAATGCATCTTGATTATTGGGTACATCAATTGGTAGATACGAGAGACTTAAGGTCAGATCTATAAGGATTTATGATTGATTTACCGATTCACTATAATTTACGTGAAGAACTTTTTTTGGGAAAACTGTCAAATAAGTCCCTGCACTTTTACGAAAAAGTCAATTGAGTCCTCAAAGTTTTTTGTGATTCAATTGAGTCCTTAAAGTACTAAAAAATAACCAAATCTCCTATTTTGTAGGTTATCATCCGGTTTCCCGGTTATCAACCTACATAAATGTCTACCTGGCATTTTTTATTTTAATTTTCTTTTTTTTTTGGAAAAATTTTCTATTTCCTTTTGTTTTCTCCTTTCTTTTTCATCTCTTTCTTTCCTTTCTCCTCCATTTACCCGTTCTTCTCCCCCATGTCTGCATTTTGTTTCTTTCTCCTGCCAAATCCTCTCCTTTCCCTTGTTTCAACCTTTCAGGTCTTCATAAGAAACATAGAAGAGGTTGTGAGGCTATAGCTATGGAGGTAGGGGTGGCACCGCGGCGGAGGTAGTGGGTGTGGAGGCCGTCAGGGTTGGCCGCGCAACAAAGGTTGTGGGTTTGGATCGGAGTTAGGGGCGGCGGCAACCGTGACCGGTGGGTATGAAGGTATGGGCGGAGGAGGACTGGAGGGGGTGGTATTGATGTAGGGGTGGCCGAACAGCGAAGGTCGTGGGTATGGAGTAAGGACCGGCGGAGATGGTGGCCGGTGGGTATCAAGGTAGGGGCGGCGGAGGTGGTGGTATGAGATAGGGTTGTCGGGGTGAAGATGGTGAGTACGGAGGTAGGTGCAACGGAATTGGTGGTCTGGTGGAGGCTAAAATCTTTAGCTGGAGAAAGAAAAGAAAAAGAAACGCATAAGGGGGGAGAAGAACGGTCTGGGAGAGAAAGGAAAGAAAGAGATGAAAAAAGAAAGGAGAAAAGAAAAAGAAATTGAATTTTTTTCAAAAAATATAGAAAATAAAAATAAAAAATGCCATCTAGGTTGTTAACAGGAAACCGGATGATAACCTACAAAATAGGAGATTTGGTTGTTTTTTAATACTTTAAGGACTCAATTGACTCACAAAAAACTTCGAGGAGCCAATTGAGTTTTTCGTAAAAGTACAGTAACTTATTTGACATCACTTCACCCTCCTTGAAGGTGTGAACAAATTGTATTTTTCTATTTACTCATATTTTAATTTTTAAGCAATTTTTTAGATTCGTTTTACAAAAGCAACTATTTTAGATATGAAAAATAGACAAATAGTTGCGGCACTTGCGGGGCATTGACAAATTACCGGGTCGAGGTTGATAATGTTAGAAACTAAAGGGACATGATTGATATTTTTTGATTTTTCCTCTTCTTGTCTCCCTACTTTCTTGTCTATATATTAAAACCCCGCCTTGTGTCAGATACATATACTCAGATCTCCATCTGAGAGCAATAAAATTCTTCATCGGTTGAGCGACCCGCCAACTATCCGACCCGTATACGAATGGCGAACCCATCTTCTTCAGTTCCGGCTACACCACTGCTGAAAGATGAGCTCGATATTGTGATCCCCACAATCCGAAACCTGGATTTCTTGGAGCAGTGGAGGCCGTTCTTCCAGCCGTACCATCTTATCATCGTTCAAGACGGAGACCCGTCGAGGACGATCCAGGTACCAGATGGGTTCGACTACGAGCTTTACAACCGCAATGACATCAACCGGATTCTGGGTCCCAAAGCCTCCTGCATTTCCTTCAAGGACTCCGCTTGCCGCTGCTTTGGTTACATGGTCTCTAAGAAGAAGTACATCTACACTATTGATGATGACTGCTTTGTAAGTCTCTGCCCCTCTTCCGTCAATTGTTTAACCTAATCATAGCATTTAGTGTCCGGGCATTGGTAAACACATCATCTTATTTTTATTGTATATTCAGGTCAAAACTAGATTTTTGTTGTTGTTGATATGTTCAAAGTATGATTTTTATTCTGGTTCAATGGTGGTCATTAATATCAAATACGTTTGCAGCATGGCTTCAATTTATTTCATCAGTTTTAGCAGTTAAACAAATGGTGGACTTTAATACAGATCTACCTTTATGTGTCTTTGGGTATCTTGATCTGATAAATTCAGGTTCAAATGCTGTTATTTTTTTCTGTTCAAGCTCTATTAAAATGATGTACGTTGACATCAAAGATTTGCTGAGAGGATCCTATGAAGAATCTGAGTTATCATACGTTGTACTCTTGAATGTCAAATTTCAAAATTGTGCAGTAGGGAAAATTGTATTCACTGTGCACGGCATTGTGGAACATATTGTATGCTCAACTTGTCATAGACTTTGATGGGTCCACCAATATTGGATCTTGAAGACGGAGTATCATTTATATATATACATAGCAAACAATATTTCTAAAATTTGACTTTATTTTTCAAATCTTATTTTGCTTTTCGAAAGTAGCCCTCAAAAGGTTTCAGATAGTGACATGCTTCTATTGCTGTTTAACATAGCTGAAACGAACATGGCATGTCATTGTGGTTGCTACTTTTCTTGTGGATCTCATGTAACCTTAGCGATATATGACCTATGTAGGGATTGGCTCTATGATTTGGTTTTATCCCCTCCACTCCTGGATCTATTTGTTTCGTTTTAATATGAGTTGGTAAGGGGTGTCTGATCTCTTGCCTCACAATGATGTTATATTCCCAGGCTAAACAAATAGCATCTCAAGCACATATAGTCAGTGGCGGAGCCAGGATTGACAGACTATAGGGGCCGGGGCTTAAAGAATTCATATAGCAGGGGCCAAAACATAAATTTTCATTATAATTTTTACTACTTATAAATATTTATACATATATATATATATATATATATATATATATATATATATACCTCACAATTTTTTTCTTGCAGGGGCCGTGGCCACCGCCAGCCTCCCCCTGTCTCCACCCCTGCATATAGTTCTATATATTCAAAAGTATATATACATGTGTGTATGTAAGCATTCATATCAAGTACCTATGATGTGCAATGTGTTTTTGGCCGAAAATAATTTAAAAGTTGGGTTATTTGCTCATTAGCATAAACTATATACTAGGTCTATATCTGATATATAAATGGGAGGTAAACCACACCAGGATCTTTTCGGGTGAGCTAGGCCCACTTTTATATCATATCAAGAGCAAAAGGATTTGTTTTTAAGTTTTGGATTGTGGATAAATGATTTCACGTGTTATTGAATCCATAGGTTGCCAAAGATCCATCTGGGAAAGAAATCAATGCACTAGAGCAGCACATCAAGAACTTGCTGTCCCCCGCAACACCGTTTTTCTTCAACACTTTGTATGATCCATACCGAGATGGTGCAGATTTTGTCCGCGGATACCCATTCAGTCTCCGTGAAGGTGCACCGACTGCT